TCCATTAACCTCGCTAGGTGCCTTCACAACTTCACTGTTCTCAGTCTCAGCTTCCTCCTGATAGTCCTGAATACCACATTTCATAAATACAGGAGTTGTTCTAACTTAATTTGAATTACAAAAAAAAATCGTATCCTCACCTCGTTCATCTCCTTGGCCTTTTCCAAGGACTCGTTGATTTCCTTAGCTCTTTCCATGGCTTGACAGTATTCAGCCTCGGCACTTTTAAGGCTGTCGAATTTCTGAAAAGAAACTTCTTCAAAAAAAATCCGGAATATAAGGCCGCAATCATACTTCGCGACCGAGAAGATTCGCCGGTTTGAGAAGAGGTTCACTAATTTGAGAGACTGCGCGACCGGGTGAGTATAGGTATTGATCAGGCGAGTGCAGAGAATGAATGAGGCAATTGGGCGTTTTCCGCGTTCGCGCGCCAAAAGAGTGGATATGTCTCAAAGTCTTCAACCGGTAAGCGGAGGTCCGACGATCCGGTGTTCTCCCAAGACGCCAGATCGCCGAGTCTCTCGAGTCATCGGTCGCTCAATCTTTCAAATCGCATGTGGATGTACGCCAGCGTTCAGACTTCGCGACGGCAGCGCTTCAGTCGCGCGTTCGACGCGATCGACGCTGTCGAAAGCATGCGCATCGATCGAGTCAAACGCGCGGCCGAAGCGCTGCCGTCGCGAAGTCTGAACGCTGCCTACGTAAAGGGTGCAGCGCCGAAGGCCACCTTCGCGGAAACCCACGACAGTATTGCCATATACCCCAGGTAATCGTATAGCGCGATTTCAAGGCAAATAGAATTGTAGAAATGCTCAAGATCTCACGGATGCTGCAGGTGGATTGGTTGGTGGTTGCGTTTCGTTGGGCGCTGTTTCCGCATTATCCTTTTTCGCTGTGTCCTCCGCCTGTTGAACTTGTTCTCCTTGTGATGTTTTCGATTTATCCTCAGCAGATGATTCCTTCTTGTCCTCATTTCGGACTTCGTAACTTGCATCGATTCCTAAAATGGAAAGATAACTAGACGCTAACCTCAACAAGGGCTCCCCAGAAGAGCCAAAAACCCAGAAAGTTCATTAGTAAAAAATAAGTAGTTCACCGAACCGAAATTCGCCAGAGCAGCAGTAACAGCTTGTCCCATGTCTTGTAAATACTGCATGCTTTTAGCGACTTGCTCAGTAATATGCTCCTTCGCTAGATGCACGCGTTGCCTGAATGCAAGAAATAAATAGTCTTTTTCGCTGCGGATGATGAGGGCGTTCAAAGGGGATGGATATGGCGCGGCGCAAGCCCATTGTTTACTTTTCCATCAGCAGGCGACAAGACTGTATCATGTCGTTTGTATCAATCGTTTCCCACCAATGTTGCCGCTCACCCACTTCAGCAACTGGTGGCGAACGGGTTGACGGCGCGTTAAACCCACCATTATTGACACGCCCCATCAAACTCAGCAGAA